CGACTCCCGTTGGTCGTACCTCTTCGAGCGACTCCCGTTGGTCGTACCTCTTCGAGCGACTCCCGTTGGTCGTACCTCTTCGAGCGACTAAATGAGTTGAACTATGTTCAACGAAATGAGTTTCACATAGTGAAACGAATCTCTGTTCTTCAGAGCGACTTCGTACCTCAATGGACACTGTCTCAGTCGAATAGTACCAATCAAGCCACTGTGACATCCAATTTCCTCTCATTGAACTCTATCTGACCTTCAGCCTCAGGAGCCAGTCGTAACTCCCTCGGTTTCATCTCCTTACGCTTTCAATAAGGATTGAGAGGCATACCTCTTCCAAGCCAAAAGTATAAAGGTAGCTGCTTTCTTTGATAGACTCACTTACGATGAACGTTCCCAGCGCTTAGGATCGAACACGATAGCCTGCTCCACCTAATCGCTGAAGTACACTCATATTGACGTGATACTTTATACAAAGTTGGCAAAGCCCCATCGTATTCTTCACTCTAAACTTCTTAGCAAACTCGACGCATCCTGTCTTTGACACTATTGATTTGCTGTCAGAGATAGATACGCCTAGTTTATCAAGAAGCTTCCTATAATTCATCGCTACTTTATCATCAGTGATGAGAACATCATCACCTAAGATAGCGTAGTCTGAGAATGGGTAAGCCATTTGTGCTGCCAACCACATGAACAACGCGAAAAGCGACCAAGAGCCAAAATAGCCTAGTGCTTGACCAGCAAGAAATGAAACGGTATATACCTTCTTGGTAATTACCAAGAATGTATTTCAACCAAGACGCATACGTTGTTCCGAAGAACAAAGAAAAGAGAAAAGGTAGTGAATCAGTAGCATCATAGCAATATGTATTACTATAACGTTACTATAACGAGAGAAGATGAATAGGAAGCTCTTGGTCATAGGTTCCATCCATTGGGATGGAATCATGGACTGGACAAAGAAGCCTTTGCTTCATGTAAGGCGTTTTCCAGCTCCTGAGAGTGTCTGCGACAACCTACCTGTTACTAATGCTTGATAGGCTGGGACGATAGTAGCCCTATTCGTCGCTCAAACCAATCGTTCTTTCCATAATCTACACGGAGATACAAATCCGTCTTGAATTGAGTGAATTTGATTTGTATTAAACCATCTCGTGAGTTAAATTCACGAATATTCTTATTCGGGTGGAAGAATAGCATGGTCAACGGAGTTTATTTCCAAGTAGGAAACCGGGTATCTCATGGACGGAATTAGCTTCTTACCATGCCGTTTTACCTCTTTTACAGAATCAATATCACTTGATGGAATTCAAACAGTGACGAAGAAACTTTCTTCGCCAAAGGTATGATTCTACAAATACCAAACCAAGATAGATCAATTATGACCCAACCCTTTCGGACATAAGAAGGATAAGAAGGAATGACCACAGGTAGCCCTGTCCGTGTCAAAGAAAGCTGATCATGTTTGGAGTAAGAACCAGCATAGTATCGCTGAAGACTTACGCCACACTGCTTTCAATATAATGAAACCAGACTTTCGTCCCATTCTAACAACAGTTCGCGAAAATGAAGTCCAACTTAAACTGATAGAACGACTAAAGGGACTCGCAAGAGTAATCCCTTTAGCCGTCTGGTACCTTCAAAGATACCAATTAGGGTTCATTTGAAAATAACTTTGTAAAAATGTAAAAATCATAATAAAATTCTCTTATATTTACCAAAAATTATTTACTTGGCCAATTCAAATGCAAATCTAGTAACCGATAACATCCACTCTCCCTCTTCGAGGAATTCGATTCAACTTGCGTTCCCCAGGCGCTATGAAATCCTTCGCCTATCGTATGTATCGGCTTGGTTTCACTATGTTCACGTACCTTTGAACCAAGGAGGCATTCTGGCGAACGCATGAAAAGACTAAAGCGACTCGCTTCTATTCTCGTTGGGAGATGGGGACGTAGTAGTTCGCCAACCTCTCTAACTAACATATGATACAATTGAACTTCACGGAGCTTCCTTCCTACGCTGATGAATGCCTCTTTTCTCTTCTCTGAAGTCTACAACAAACAAGTGGGAGAGGCAGGATTCGAACCTACGTAGAAAAACTTCAACAGATTTACAGTCTGCCGCTTTTGACCACTCGGCCACTCTCCCCTTCCCGGGCCGAATTCGTTTCAAATGAGTTGACAGAGAACAGAGATTCGTTTCACTATGTGAAACTCATTTCGTTGAACATAGTTCAACTCATTTCAAGTAATACGTATTCGTTTATCTTAAAACCTACGTATCTAGTCTCATTACGTAGTGAAGGAGTTGAACTCGTTAGGTCAGAAAAGCGATAACTAAAAAATCTCCCCAAGTAGGATTTGAACCTACGACCAGTCAGTTAACAGCCGACCGCTCTACCACTGAGCTACTGAGGAACAACGGATTCGTTTCAAACGTTGAACTATGTTCAACGAAATGAGTGTAACATAGTTCAACGAATCTCTGTTCTCTGTCAACTCATTTGAAACGAATCCTCAGAATGAGTTGAACGTAGTTAGACGAATAGTGAAACGAATCCCTTGCTAATATCGAAGTGAGATATCACTATTGATTGATAGAAAGCCCTATTGTAGACTAATAGCTCTAGCTTTCGATTCCTCCACACTTCCATTTGTTAGGAAGAGCTATTATTCATAGTATACTTTATTTCCCGCTTCAAGCAAAGTCAAGGACCTTTCCTTCGGCTTCAGCAAATTGATCTGGGACCTTGTTTCGGTATAATCATCCTTCTTGCTACTTTGTTTTGTTAGAGGGGGTTCTTTATACTCTATACTCTCGGAACAAGGCTGTCAGTCAGGCATGTCTGTGCTGTGACTGGGAGGTCGAAGCTAAGACGTGGAACAGGTCTCCCATCAGCCAGTTACTTTATTTTGTTACTAATCCCCAGTGGACAATGCTGCGCCAGAGTGAAAAATAAAAAAATAAAAGAGAAGTAGGTTTTGGAAGGACCAACGGGGATGGAGGAGATGCCCCGTCAGGAGGTGTTATGCGCAGATTTTGGAAACTGGTTAGCACACCAAGGCTTCTGGCTGAATGAGTTGAACATAGTTACACTCATTCAGAGACTTCGTACCTTTTCCCTATTCCCTTGTGGCTTAGTTGAACATAGTGAGACTAAGGAATGGGTCAAGTTCTGCAGCCCAGATACGTCTATTTGAGTTCAACATATCTTTTCTTTCCCGGAAGGATATGCCTACTATGGCAGGAAGGGGCTTGCGCACAAAACTGCTTTATTGGCGGGTGGGCTGCTTTAAAGGTGGAAATACAAGACCAAGGGTAGTCGCTTATGCTCTTGAAAGGGAATATGCCTTCCGTTCGTGATCCCCACGTGCCTGTAGATAGATAATAAGCATCTTTCCTGTTGGGGAAGGCGGCACTGGTCGTACTTGTGTGTGAACCCTGAAACGTATATAATGTTCATAAGAAAATATTGAATTCCATCTCCTTAAACTAGCTTTTCCCTCTTCGAGCAACTCCCCTCTTCGAGGTACGAAGTCACTAGAGAATTCGTTTCACTATGTGAAACTCATTCGACCTACGGGAGAGGTACGACCAAAGGGAGTCCCTAGAGAATTCGTTTCACTATGTGAAACTCATTCGACCTACGGGAGAGGGAGTCCCCTCTTCGAGCGACTACGTACGTTGGTCGTACCTAGAGATTCGTTTCAAATGAGTTGACAGAGATTCGTTGAACTATGTTCAACGAAATGAGTGTAACATAGTTCAACGAATCTCTGTTCTCTGTTCTCTCTAGCTATTTCACATAGTGAAACGAATTCTCTAGTGACTTCGTACCTTACCTGGGAGGTTTAACATAGATTGATTACCCGGGGAGCCTCTAGTCTCTAGCCCTGTACAAGTAGAGGGTATTTAAGGCTTTATGTAATAGATTAGCGTATTACCCTACGGACCGACATGAAATAAAAGAATAAAGGTAAATGCCGGAGAAAAGCTTATTCTTGGCTAGGCCTTTTCGCTATTTACGAAAAAAGCTGTTATAGGTCCGATCTTGCTCTGGGACCAATTAGGTGAAAGCCTACTTATATCTTTTATTATCTTTTATCTTTTTATATCTTTCTCTTCAGCGACATCAGACTTGTCAATCGTCCGATTCACCCGACCGGGAAACATATTTCGTTCCACCACGCAGTGAATTAAATAATTACGTGAAGTAGTAGATCCTTCGGCATCAGATTTGGCAGAAGTTTTATCTTTTGCTGATTTAGCAACAGAAATGGTATCTGATACTGGTTCAGCTAAATAAGTTGTTTGTATCAGCTACATAAATCGATCCCGAAACAGCGGATAAGGAAACATCAATCAGTCCCCTCCCGGAGCGGCATCTTGTTCAGCGGTAGCGGGTGGTTCAACAACATAAACCGGTTCCGCGGCGGAAGCTGTATCATTTACGGCAGCCTACCTATAAGTATACTATAACTATAAGTATACTATAAGTATATAAGTAGTATATAAGTATAAGTAAGGAGAGGTACGAAGTGACTCGAAAGAGGTACAGAGAACAGAGATTCGTTTCACTATGTTCAACACTATGTGAAACTCATTNCGGATAAGGAAACATCAATCAGTCCCCTCCCGGAGCGGCATCTTGTTCAGCGGTAGCGGGTGGTTCAACAACATAAACCGGTTCCGCGGCGGAAGCTGTATCATTTACGGCAGCCTACCTATAAGTATACTATAACTATAAGTATACTATAAGTATATAAGTAGTATATAAGTATAAGTAAGGAGAGGTACGAAGTGACTCGAAAGAGGTACAGAGAACAGAGATTCGTTTCACTATGTTCAACACTATGTGAAACTCATTTGAAAGAGGTACGACCAAAGGGGTGGAAAGGATTGGATACGTAGTGAAACGACTACAAGGCCTAACCGGTCACGACATGTTGTGGGTTGGAGGGACTTTCGCTGACTGAAAACCTAGACCCCGGTCACCTTTGGATTCTTAAGTAGGGGGGATGCCGACCACTACATAAGCCACTAGTGGCTGAGCCCCTATCAGAGAAAGCCATTGCGCGCTAGCTAACGTTTTGAAGCTGGCTTTGTAGCGCGTCTTCCCTCCTTCGGAAATATTGAGCAGTATTTTCTTATGATGACCTGGTCGCGAGAGTACGATACATCGGTGTAAAAGATTGAGTTGGTTATAACCATATTCATTCCACGCTTTTTTAAAATAAAAAAATAAAGGAGTTGAGAAGGAAGATCTCTGGGAGCCTTCACTCGTCAACCTAAAAACAGGAAGAAGATGAAGAGATGGGAATGAGGTGCAACAGCGATAAGGAGGGTTTCAAAGCGCCTTCCCGCCATAAATAGAATTGTAAATTCGGTTGGCAACCAACTTTCAATCATACTTATCATTTTGCCTTGCTCATGGCACTTCTTTCTTCGTACCTCTTCGAATGAGTTGAACATAGTTCAACGTTTGAAACGAAATGAGTTTCACTATGTGAAATCAAATGAGTGTAACGATTCGTTGTTCGTTGAACATAGTTCAACTCATTCGACCAACGGGAGTCACTCGACCTACGGGAGAGGAAATGAGTTTCCATTTGAAACGAATAGTTCAACTCATTCACTGAGATACGTATTACTTGAAACGAATACGTATCTTTCTATCATATCAGTCGAATTCGTTCTTATCTATAGATAACGAGATAACGCAAGAGATCACTTATGACCTCGCGGATGGAGAGGGATTCGAACCCCCGGTATTCCTATCAATACTTCGGTTTTCAAGACCGACTCTTTCAACCGCTCAGACATCCATCCTCTCCCTCTTCGAATGAGTTGAACATAGTTCAACGAATCTCTAGGGACTCCCTTTGGTCGTCCCTCTTCGAATGAGTTTCACTATTCGTTGA